ATCATTAATATTATACTTTAGTAATTATTTTGGTAAATTTGCACTTTACTCAAGTACTAGTGAAACTGAATGCTTGAATTATTTCCAAGTCAAAATTTATGCTTTTTACTGCTTATTTAATTAGACCTTCAAAGAACAAAATATATATTTACCAGGGCACTATGACTTTTTCTTCTTAAATACATATATTATTCCTATATATAATCATCTATTCCAAAATATAAGAAATAAATGTTTACTTTTGTTTAATTGCTTGTAAATATGGAAACCTGGGTAACATTTTACAATAAGGTTCCATTTGTAAAAATTAGTTTGTTCATGAAAAATACTTCTAATTTACTAGTTAATTTTAATTTCAACATTTACTAATACATAATTAAAATTAAAATTTGTAGGCCTATCTGTTAATATTATTTAATGGAGTAACTAATTGGAACCTTATTGTGAAGTGTTACGGAAACTTGTTTACTTGTTTTAGTTACATGCTTTGACTAAAATCATAGACCTAATAGGCTACCAATTCTTTTATTATTTACTGTGTACTTTCTACACATCAACATAAATGGCCCAAACATAAAAAGCCAATCTTGCTTTACTATGTCAAAGGCATATAGCGTTGAAAATTATCCGTTTTTCCAGCTTGACTTAATACTTGACTTTTGAGATTACAGACAGAGGTGATGGAGCTCAGGCTGCATTCATTTCTAATGTTTTGTTTCTGACATTCTGAGATCAGATGTATTAACACAAGAGTGTGTGAGTAAATGACTCATTCATGACTCACCTCATTCCTGACCCATGAACAGCTCACAACAAATGCCTGCTGGGACAGGGACATCTGTCACTGCCCGATACTACAATTACTGAATTATAGACACTGTAAACTTTGGCCCTCTAGCGGTAGGCCTATAAAAATAAAACTACAAGTTACTCGCGGAAGAACACTGTCTTGGTTATTACGTGAGTTGTGCTTCGGCTCCGCTATTCCGCGCGGATTAATCTGCTGTTATCTGTTGGTGTGATCATGATTACAGATCATCGCTTTATCAGCGCAAATGTCACTAACGACATCAAAACTCAACCAATAACGAAATAAAGACTGGTATCTGGAAAGTACATTATATATGCTGCTGTTGTTTTCAGTTTTGGGGGTAACACATTACAAGTAACGCGAGTTACGTAATCAGATTACTTTTTTCAAGTAACTAGTAAAGTAATGCATTACTTTTTAATTTACAAGAAAATATCTGAGGTACTTTTTCAAATAAGTAATGCCAGTTACATTGTTTTCCCATTTATTGACTGACTTTTACATTTGCAAAAAATATAACTTTTTTTATATTAAAAACAAACAAGCAAGCCCAGCCCAGATGAGAAAAAGTAACACAAAAGTGTACGTAATGCATTACTTTCCATACTAAGTAACTAAGTACTTTTTTAGGGAGTAACGCAATATTGTAATGCATTACTTTTAAAACTAACTTTCCCCAACACTGTTTTTTTTTTTTTTTACTTGTTCAGTTGTTTTATAACGCTACATAAGTTTGGCAGCGCTGACATTATATAACTGTAATTGCTATTCATATCATATAATGGTGAAAATGATAACTATTAAGCTATTTATATGCAAATAAACTAAAGTAGTAACTGTTTTAGTGATTGGCATTGTTACCAAAGTAAACATTTTTTTGCAAATCTATTTAATGCACAGCAAGGTTGATTCGTGTTTTATTACGGGTTCCGTCGCTTTCTGTTTTTGCTTGCAAACAGTATTCGCTTCGAGGTTCATTTGTTGTGGCTTCAAGTTACTTTACTATATATAGTATTGCTATTATACTTTAACGGCATCAAATGCGTCAGAGAAAAAAGCGCACTGCCATCGTTAGAATTTTTTCTTTGAACTTCCGTTTTTGTGGCAGCTCTATAATTATTATAGGCTTACCATAGTGATTTAGGATAACGACTAGGCTACCTTTGTTGGTTTTATGATGTACTCGCTCATTATTTAATTTTTATTTACATTTTGAACAAAAAGGATACATAGTGTATAGCTTTAAACATCAATTCACGCTTGGCTATTGGGAGGCATGCAATCAGAGACTGTAAAATACAACGTTTGACAGTTAAATTGACCTTTTATTAATTATCACATCATCAATGTTAGCAACTCATTCACTTATTGCACATCCTATGATACAAATGATTTACACACAGTACACTGTTATACAGTCTGATAATGCACATTATACAATAATGTGGCTTTAATTATCCCTTCAGAATACATTATGAGCACTTGCATGCTGATTGGTTAACACATCACTGCAAGATCCAGTGGAACGATGACACTGAATGAATTTGATTAATAAAATAACATGTTTATTGCTGTTATTGTGAAATTAGTCACTCCGCTGTGTCGAGCTGAAAAATATTAGAGACTGTGGCTACACTTTACAGTAAGGCCTTATTAAAGTTAATGCATTTACTAAGAAAGAATAATTAATTTGTTTCAGCATTTATTCATATTTGTTAACGTGTTAAATACCACTGTTTTTTGTTAGTTCATGTAATTCAGGTCCATTAAATAATGTTAACGGATACATTTTTTTATTTGAATAACGTATTGAAATCTATGGAGGACCTTACATGTGGGAATAAATAAATATAAAAATACAGTTACAAATAAATTAAGAACATAATAAATAAATTGGAAAAATACAAAAAACAAAAAGCACAAATTTAATTATATAATTTTTAAAAATTATATTTGTTTTAGCAAGTCATTTATTCCTTTATTTATTTTTCTATTATTATATTTATTTAATTTTTGCAAGTTTGGTCCTCCATATAGAAATGAACAACTTTAGTGTGCTTTAATACAATGCTTTAGTTAATTTTAACTGATGCATTTCACTAATGATAACAAGTAGAACCTTACTGTAAAGTGTTATTGAGACGTTTGTTATAAGAACTCACTGAATCCTCTCTCTGTACCCATAAGGCATTATGAAGGGAGGGAAAATAAGCTCCGCCTCCTGTGATATGGTAATGGGAAGCTTGAGTTGGAAGCACACGAGTTTGTACTGCAGAGCTGCATGAAAGAGTCTACTTACAGTGAATACAGACGACTCACTGTGTCAAACACTTCGGCTGTGTTGGGAATATCATACTACAGTGCTATTTCTACAGTATGCATATTGTGCATGGAATTTTCTGTATGAATACTGTATTCCACAATGAAACACACTCAACTTGACCTTGAATTTCTAGTGTGATGAATGAAAAGTAAATCATATCAACCATGATTGTTAACATCTTGGCTCATTTGATTAGACGGGCAAAGGTTAAGACATTTTCAGATAAAACTGCACTAAAATGAGTTGAATAAAACATGCAATGCAACGAGGTCTTGTGACAGCAATATACCAGTAAGAAGCGTTTATCATTGCATACTGTTCCAAACACGCTTTAAAAAAAATAAGTATGCAGTGCATACTATGCAGTATGCTAGTATTCCATTCGGAACACAGCCCCTGATACTTATTAAGCACATATATTACAGTTGTAAAGTTCCAGCGAACATGACCTGCTGACCGTGTGTTACACAATATGTACAGCTCACTTTATGAGTACATAACCTTCACATTCTGTCTGTTCATATGGCATACTGTAAATTTACTTAGATAAGTTTAAAAGTCAACATGAAGGTCAAGCTTCTTTTTTAAAATCCTTATTTATTATTATTGCTGTAAACTTGCATTAATATTAACCACCATTGAACTGCTGCATTAAAGGAACAGTCCATCCAAAAATTAGCTGAAAATTTGCTTAAGATGTCCTCTCACTCAGGCCATCCAAGATTAGGATGAGTTTGTTTCTTCATCAGATTTGGAGAACTTGCTCACTAGTGCAGTGAATGGGTGCTGTCAGAATGAGAGTCCAAACAGCTGATAAAAACATCACAATAATCCACAAGTAATCCACACCACTCCAGTCCACCAGTTAATGTCTTGAGAAGCCAAAAGCTGCGTGTTTATGAGAAAAAAAATCCACCATTAAGACATTTTTAACTTCAAACTAGCTAAAATACGAGTCCATAATCCATAATAATGCTTCCTCCAGTGAAAAAGTGGTCTGGTCTGAATCAGGAGAGAAATCTGCACAGATCAAGCACCGTTTACAACAGTCCAAAACAGCTCTAAACAAATATGTGGCTGGATTTTGATGTGAGAGACAACAGGAGGTGGACTTTTTCACTCCATAATCCATAATAATGCTTCCTCCAGTGAAAAAGTGGTCTGGTCTGAATCAGGAGAGAAATCTGCACAGATCAAGCACCGTTTACAACAGTCCAAAACAGCTCTAAACAAATATGTGGCTGGATTTTGATGTGAGAGACAACAGGAGGTGGACTTTTTCACTCCATAATCCATAATAATGCTTCCTCCAGTGAAAAAGTGGTCTGGTCTGAATCAGGAGAGAAATCTGCACAGATCAAGCACCGTTTACAACAGTCCAAAACAGCTCTAAACAAATATGTGGCTGGATTTTGATGTGAGAGACAACAGGAGGTGGACTTTTTCACTCCATAATCCATAATAATGCTTCCTCCAGTGAAAAAGTGGTCTGGTCTGAATCAGGAGAGAAATCTGCACAGATCAAGCACCGTTTACAACAGTCCAAAACAGCTCTAAACAAATATGTGGCTGGATTTTGATGTGAGAGACAACAGGAGGTGGACTTTTTCACTCCATAATCCATAATAATAGTGTTATTATGGATTATGGAGTCGTATTTTGGCAAGAATGACAGTTTAAAGTAAAAAATATCTTAATGATGGATTTGTTTCTTTTGTCTTCTGTGATGTTTTTATCAGCTGTTTGGACTCTCATTCTGACGGCACCCATTCACTGCAGAGGAGCCATTGCTGAGACACTGATACAATGCTACATTTCTCCAAATCTGATGAAGAAACAAACTCACCTACATTTTGAATGGGCTAATTGTCTTTATTTTTGGGTGAACTTTTCCTTAACCACTTACACTATTTTAAAAAAGAATAAATTACCTTCGGCAACAGCCCAAAACTATGACTAAATAATTTTTGGTGATTGGTTGTTTTTTATGGCAAGTTGACCAATGAATGATTATGAAGGCAAGCATGATTTCATGTTGACTTTAGACCTGTAAGCTGCTGCATTATGTAACAGGCTGAATGCGTTTCCCATTGTGGAAGCTGTTGGCCAGTGAACATGGTTAAACTGCCAAGTCAAGCTAAAATCCCGCTGGTATTAAACATCCCAAGTTTTACATCTGTACAACACAAACGACTTTTACACAAGATGTTTGAGTTTGCACAGATGTTCCTCTTCAGAAACAAAACAAGTGTAAGAAAAGAGTCCGTGAGCATTTGTTTTCTCTCTCGTTCACACTTACTGAGCTGCGATCCGGTTGTGATCCAGGTCAAAGGTCAGCGAGTATCGAAAAACTTCACTGTAGACAGAGCATCACAAACATCATTATTGTGTTTTGAGATGATGATGATTGTGTTCATCCACATGATTGTTATTTACAATTGAACATCTTTGGAAAATGACATGCACAGATGAATCCGTCTTGAAGTGTATCTGTAAATGAGAAAAATATCATTCGCAATCACTATATTTATCATTTAATTTCTTTTAGATTTTAGGATTGTGTTTTGCATTTATCAAAAGTTTTGGGTGAGTCTTACAGAAAAATAATCCAAGGTCATCAAAAAAGTATGTATGCATTAGTTTTGTTTTAAAATATGTCTATATAGGTTTTATTGTTTTTTTTATTTCAGTTTTAGTTAAGTGCATCAAGTTAAACTAAATGAAAATGAGAATTTGTATATATTATTTATTTCAGTTAACTGTTTTTCCAAGTAAAAAAAAAAAAGTTTTTTTTTTTAATGGTTTTAGTTTTTTTTTTTTTTTTACTTCAATAACCCTTTCAGGGTTATTATATTATTTAATATATGTTCAGTATTTAATATATACAAAATTATATATTTAATATATAATCTTGCTGAGCAAAGAACATTAACAAAATATTTATTTAAAAACATTAAATACATAATCAATTAACATTATTAAATATATAATAAATTACATATATCTATATATATATATATATATATATATATATATATATATACACACATACACACAGTATAAACATTTAAATATTAAACATTTATATTTTAAAGTCAAATATGTAATGTATTTATATTTCAGGTCTTATGAATTCATACAAAAGCTTCCTTTTTGCTTAAGCTCTCAAATCAAATGGTCAGTATAATGCATGTCACATAAAGGTGGACGTCAATGACACTGTTACTGGTTTTCGCATGTCTTATGACTTACATTTCAGTCTGTTCCTCGCACAAAGCTATCATATGACTTCAGATGACTTGGAATAAAGCCTACGAGTCATATGGACTAACTTTATGGGGGTTTTGTCCTTGACAGCCATTGAGAAGGAAATGGCTATGAGAAGGAGCTATGAGAACGAAATAAAATAACAGAATGCGGGTTTGAGACTGAATTTTCATTTTTGGGTGAACTAGCCTTTTAAGTTACTCCCCAACACTGAAGAAAGACAGACACGCAGGGCTATATGCTTGTGATGGGATATCGGCCATGTGCCGGTCAGTAGTCTGGTCAAAAATAGCAGTGATGGGCGGCAGGGTCGCTGCGGCTGCTGATCTGACGAGAGCAGCAGATGTGTTTTATGCAACAGAGCAGATGAGATGCCGCTCCTCTCGCCATTCAGAGACCCCAAATATGGTGTATGGTCCAAAGGTCATTAAACCCACCCTACTGCTGAATCTACTGTTACAGTCAGGCGTTCACTCTCTTACCCAATGAGACGCGTCAGGGACAGGCCTCCGCAGCCACTGATGGCGGCCTGCAAAATAACACTCCAATCAACATTGCATTCAAAACAAATAGTGTAAACTCAGATTAAACAATCACATCAGATTTCTTTGCATTTAAAATCAACAGGAAATGGTGTTTGCAACACATTTAACTTTCGTAATTGGACATATTTCCTAAGATATTCAATGAGAAATGCAGTTTTCCAAGTAATTTTAACCACGTGGAATTAGTTCGATCTGGAGTTTTAGTGCTAGGGGGTCTGTGGAAAAGTTTAGAGAAAAGGTAAAAAATGTAAAAAAATAAATAAATAATAATAATTAGAAGAATACTAGAGAAGAAGAATAAATAAAAATAAGAATAAACAATATAAATAAGATTAAAATAAATAAATAAAAATTATATACAAATAAACAAATAATTATTTTAAATAAAAGTTCAAATAAAATAAAATAAATAAACTAAAAATTAGATTAAAATAAATATATTAAAATAAATAAATGAGTAAATAAACAATACATAAGTACAGCACTGTAATTATGGAAGCCCATTTCTGGCATGGAATAAAAAATTCTTAAAAAGGTAATTGTGACTTTTCATCTCACAATTTCGAGTTATAAAGAAAGAATTGCTAGATAAAAATTCTAAATAATATTATTTAGAAACATTAGTTTTTCACTGTATGCAAGTTTTATTTAGGGGTCCATGGCATCTAAAAGATTGAAACCCCCTGGGTTAGATGATGAAAAATGACTCTATTTGACAAGTGGTTGGAGTGAAGGCAATGAAAAATAGGACTCTTTGATGATTTGATAGCAAGCAGAACGATGACGTGTAATAAAGTGTTAAAGTGTGTCAGTTTTGATTACATGTTGACTTGCGCTGAATCATGTATGTGTTGTATGTGTTGTAATAAAATCTAAATGCATGATGTTTTCTCATTAAGCTTTCACTGTCAATGCAGTAACCTTTGAAATATAAGTCTGTTTGATACACACGGTCAGATTATGTTATGGCTGCATCCCAGTTTGCCTACTAATTGTCATAAATAGTATGAGAGATAAGAATTAATCATGTTGAAAATGTCAAAGGTGCTCAGATGGTTTACTATTCCTAAGGGATTTCTTGTGTGCATCCACCCACACTTTTTGAAGTAATATTACCCATAATTCCTTTGCACTGAAAATGAGGGTCTCTGATGGTTTTCCGTTCATTTATTTTCAGTTGTAAGAAATAGCAAGGAACATGAAGCTGCTGCATCAATACTTACATTCAAAAGTTTGGAATTATCAAGATTTTTTCATGTTTTTAAAAGAAGTCTCTTCTGCTCACCTAGGCTGCATTTATTTGATCAAAAAATACAGTAAAAACAGTAATACTGTGAAATATTATTACAATTTAAAATAACTGTTTTCTATTGTAATATATTGTAAAATGTAATTTACTCCTGTGATTACTCCAGTCTTCAGTGTCACGTGATCTTCAGAAATCATTCTAATATGCTGATTTGCTGCTCAAGAAACATTTCTGATTATTATCAATGTTGAAAACAGCTTTCATTATTAAATAAATATGATAAAATGATAATACATTTTACAATAAAATATTATAATATTATATTAAGTAACATTATAATAACATGTAATTTTTTCAGATTTCTCTGAGGAACAGAAAGTTCAAAAGAACAGCATTTATTAGAAATAGAAATCTTTTGTTACATTATAAATGTCTTTGCTGTTTTTAGTCAATTTAATGCATCCTTGATTAATAAAAGCACTATTTAGTATTTCAATAGTGTATGTATTGTTTCATAGTGAAATATATATTTTTAGTATGCAGTATGCAAATTGAGATGCAGCCGGTGATTCCAGACAGAGACTCCTGCGATGCTGCATGTCACATACATCAAACACTGCATGGATGTAAAGAGCTTCACCTCTCTGATGTCTTGGCCAGTTGTTCAAGCCTGTGAGGACATAATCAAAGTAACATATTAGTGCACAACAAACACCTGACAAACTGAGAAATAAATTCCTGTACATGTGTCATCTTACATTTCATACAGTTGACTGTTGACAAACATGACACAGGGCAACAACTGCGTGATGTAGTCCATAAATGCAGTTATATATGCCCTTACGATTTAAGATATTGGGGCAAAAAATTCCCCTGTATGAGTTATTGTTATTTATGTCATATGATAAGCGATTTATTTGATCAAAAAATACAGTAAAAACAGTAATACTGTGAAATATTATTACAATTTAAAATAACTGTTTTCTATTGTAATATATTGTAAAATGTAATTTACTCCTGTGATTACTCCAGTCTTCAGTGTCACGTGATCTTCAGAAATCATTCTAATATGCTGATTTGCTGCTCAAGAAACATTTCTGATTATTATCAATGTTGAAAACAGCTTTCATTATTAAATAAATATGATAAAATGATAATACATTTTACAATAAAATATTATAATATTATATTAAGTAACATTATAATAACATGTAATTTTTTCAGATTTCTCTGAGGAACAGAAAGTTCAAAAGAACAGCATTTATTAGAAATAGAAATCTTTTGTTACATTATAAATGTCTTTGCTGTTTTTAGTCAATTTAATGCATCCTTGATGAATAAAAGCACTATTTAGTATTTCAATAGTGTATGTATTGTTTCATAGTGAAATATATATTTTTAGTATGCAGTATGCAAATTGAGATGCAGCCGGTGATTCCAGACAGAGACTCCTGCGATGCTGCATGTCACATACATCAAACACTGCATGGATGTAAAGAGCTTCACCTCTCTGATGTCTTGGCCAGTTGTTCAAGCCTGTGAGGACATAATCAAAGTAACATATTAGTGCACAACAAACATCTGACAAACTGAGAAATACATTCCTGTACATGTGTCATCTTACATTTCATACAGTTGACTGTTGACAAACATGATACAGGGCAACAACTGCGTGATGTAGTCCATAAATGCAGTTATATATGCCCTTACGATTTAAGATATTGGGGCAAAAAATTCCACTGTATGAGTTATTGTTATTTATGTCATATGATAAGCGATATCACACGAGCAGCGAGAGCAATATCACACGAGTGCTGTTTTTGTCCCAAATAGCACAAGTGCAAATGTGATTTTATACAACAGTTCAGTGGATAAGAAGTTAATATTGTGTTATATTTTAAACAATGTTTTTGTTCAATTTTGCCAACAAAAATATTACCTATAAAGCCACAGCAGAACAGTTGTGCGTCTCTTAAAAACACAGCAGTGTTTTTTTTCTGAATGAATCCACGTTTGTGAACCAATGATTCAAAGACCCAGTTATAAAGAAAGCCATTTACTTCATTCCTGAATGAATCAGCCTTTGAATGAATCGAATGCATGAATGAATGACTCAATGACATTTACCACCACCTACTGGCAGTTTTATTATATTATAAAAAAAATAAAATAAAAAAAAACATTAAAGGGATAGTTTGCCCAAAAATATAAATTCTGTCATCTGAAGACTGTTGGTAACCAAGCTGTTTTGGTTAACAATGACTTTCACTGTATGAACAAAAAATACTGAGATGTCTTTTATGTTCCATAGTTTATGTTAGGCCGTTGTAGCATAAAAGTTTATGTGAAATAAATTTTATGTTGAATCAAATAAAATATTTATTTCTAAAGCTACTTTTTGTAATATCTATTGCTACTTTTCTCACTTAACACAATAATGGCTTTAAATTATTTTTGGGGGGTATTTTCACAGCCAAATTTAATGTGTGATTAATTAGATTAAAAATTTGAATCGACTGACAGCCCTAATATATAAATATATATATATATATATATGTGTGTGTGTGTGTATGTGTGTATTATGGGCTGAACTGTAAGAGAAACTGTCCTGCTGTGGCCTGTTTAACATCTGAATCATGTAAAGGCCAGAGAACTCTGATCACGTAACGCCATACCATCCCACAACCCCCTGCTGCGGTTTTACCTTTCTCTCTCCGCTTTGATTCGCTCCTCGTCACATCTGCAGAAAGAAGAGAGCACAAACTGTTATCACACTGTCACACATTACAAACACTGCGCATTTCTAAAACCTCATGCCTTCAACACAGAGAAATCTACGACTGCGTTCGGAACTGCCTAGATACTCGTACTATTTTTTACAGTATGCAGTATGTGTGCTATGTACAAGAAGTGCATTTTCTGTAATCCTGGAATACACAGATGACATACATTTATTAAAATATCCTACAATGTATCTTACAATGCAATGCACTTAAATTCACCTTTCATTTCCAACTGCAATATTGAATATGATTTGAAGTTAGGACACTAAAAAATTTATTAAAATGCCATTTTATTTCTGTCATGATAACGGGGCGCCACTTGGCAAATTAAACCTATAAAACCTACCATATCATATTTAAAATGCACATTCCTAAAGCCTCTAAATGATCAACATGATGAAAACTTTGCTGAAAAAACTGTCGCACGCAATCTACTCCATGTCTTCTGTCGTCTGATTGATTAGAGTTTTTTAATCACGTAAAAGCTCTTTTAGTGTAATTGTACAAACATACACCTTCAGCTCGTGCTTCACGTGTCTTTCTGCTGTCAAATCTTGACTGATTTTTATCAAGTAAACATAAGAATAACTTTAGTAACATTTCCAGATGAACACTTACTGAACTGAAGCAGCTCAGCTTTACTTGATTCTCCATAAAATCCTTTTCAAATGTGAGTCTCAAATATCTTCAGGCTTTTGAGGAAAATGTATTTGTTCATCTCTCAATCATCATTGGATTGCATTGCATTATATGTTTTCATCTTTTAAATCTCATCTTACTAAGACATATTATTGGAGATATAGAGTGACGACTGATATTTATAGCATTTTATGTAAGTATCTGCTGTACTGTTATAAAGATCTCATTGATTTACATTACAAGCATCAGAATTGCATCACATTTTGTCCATATAAATATCAGCATCTGCACCAAATTGCATATTTTTGCTCAGTTTGGCTCTCTGAATAAAAGTGAGCTTCTCACTATATCATACTATATGAGCTATAAAAAACCTGATGTATCAAAAATGATACTCAATAAACAGAATTGATATTCTGTCTAAAGGCTCAATATACTCTTTCATTTAAAAAAAAGTGATTTTTCAGACTATTATTTCATATGTCAGGCTTTACAGGGTTAAATATGCAACGTATTGAGATCATGTTAATGTGAAATGTTAATTTCTGCATACAGCTTCAACAAAACTCTATCATGCCCTTGTTTGTTTTAGTTTGCATGTACAAATGACATTCTCTCTGCGAGTGTTAATCAAAAGACATCCATGTGTCTCCTCCTGCTGGTGAAGCTCACTTACTGCAGCACGCACTTGGGAATCTGCACATGCTCCATGGGAACGATCAGAGCCAGTTCCTCCAGACTCTGGACGTAACGGATCTTATCCATGAATTTTACACTGCAGAGGAATTCAAATGTATTAAAATACATTCTACAAACTGTTGAGGGTGTTTATGTGATGTTCAGTGTTTCCTGACCTGATAAAGGGCCGCGAGATGGCCAGAACTGTCCGGATGAACCAGGAGGGATGTGCGATGATCAGACATTTGAGATTCTTTCTTAACCTGGATGTTAATTGAATAAAAAAAAAAAGAATTAATATGAAATTCCACTCCAAAACAGGTCATAACTAACATCAGTGTCCCATCTCACAAAGTATAAACAACACAAAGGATTTTTTTCATAATATGGGTTCTCATCTATGTCTCATTCAAGAATCAGCTTAGTTGTACCGTCTTTCGATCATCTGGTAGCATCTCTTGAGCCAGCTGATGCCCGGCATCCTCCTGCGCGGCGTGGCTCCGTTCAGATAGATGATCATGTAGTCTTCAGCTACCAGCAGCTCCAAACTACTGATCACATACCTGCAGAGACAATACAATAAAGCATTGAGATAAAACTTCAGAAAATATCCATAGTCCATGAGGAAGTGCAAACCTGTAAAATATCTGCATTTCTCTGTTGTAAAACAGGGTCTATAAAATCCGTTCAAAAGTCTCTTCTGCACACCAAGGCTACATTTACTTGATCAAAAATACAGCAAAAACAGTGAAATTGTGAAATATTATTTCAATTTAAAATAACTGTTTTCTATTTGAATATATTGTAAAATGTAATTTATTTCTGTGATCAAAGCTGTATTTTCAGCATCATTACTCCAGTCTTCAGTGTCACATGATCTTCAGAAATCATTCTAATATGCTGATCTGCTGCTCAAGAAACATTTCTGATTATTATCAATGTTGAAAACAGTTGTGCTGCTTCATATTTTTGTGGAAGCTGTGATACATTTAATTTTTTCAAAGTTCAAATGAACAGCATTTATTTGAAATAGAAATATTTTATAACATTATAAATGTGTTTACTGTCACTTTTGAGCAATTTAATGCATCCTTGCTGAATAAAATTATTAATTTCTTTAAAAAAACTTGCTTGTTATGCATGTAGAACATGGTTATTATAGTTAACTAAAATTAAAAAGTTTCTGAAATTAAAATCATTAAACTACTTGAAATAAAATTAACATTAACTTAAGTAAAATAAAATATAAAAAACTTTTAATTTTTACTAGTTGCCAAGTCAACTTTTTTCATTTAAATTTAGTTTATGCACTAAAATATGCACTAAAATAACTAAAACCGAAATAAAATTTATAAAAACTATATAGACATATATAAATAAAACTACTAAAAATGACAAAAACACAAAACAAAGTGACTAAAACTTACTAAAATTAAAATTAAAAATCTAAAAATAAAAACTGATTCAAAATATGAATAAAAACTATAACAGTACATCAACGATACTAAAATAACACTGATGTAGAAGACATATGTTTAAATAAATTAAATACAAAAATTCTATGTTTCTGGAAATATTCTGTATGTTGTGTGTATGAAAACACATTCATGGGTAATTCATAGTGACAAATTAAATGTAATAAAATAATAATAATATATATATATATAAAAAAAATAAAATAATTATTATTATTATTATTAATTTAACAAGATAATAAAAACTGTACAGCATATACAGCAGTTATATGAATTTCTTTAACATTCTATTTTGATTCTGCTTCCTTACATTCAAATTTGAATTATGATTCTGCATCTGTTTGCTAACTTGATTCAATTTGAACTCTGTTTAGGACACACAGTCTTTCTATAACCCAAACGTTTATGTTTATCTGATTTCAAATGCACACTGGTCTACTCTTTGACTAAACTGTGTCTGTGTCTTACAGAAAGAGGTTCTCCATGATGTAATTGTAGTCTGCGCAGCCGCTGTCGGGCAGATAGCAGGCAGCAAACACGATGATGGCATTCAGTCCTTCACCGTAATAACCTGTGAACAGAAACAGTAACATGAGATCAAGCTGAACACTTTCCATGTTCACTGATCCCACTGTTTGTGTAAAACGGCCTTGGAACATAATGTGCTGTATTTTCCCTTAAGTTCACTTACAATGTGCCAACAAACAATAAACATTTGTCATTTAAGTTTCATTTCTGTTTTCCATCCTTTAGAATTAAACAAGCTGTTTTTGCTACTGTAACTTTAAGATATAAATGACCTTGTTGTGATTATATAATGTTTTTGTATGTAAAGAGTGGGACGAGTTACACAACAAAGCTGAATTTAGTGTTAAGGGTTTTGTTCAAATCAGGGTTATTATAGGCCTAGTTAAAACAAAAGCTAAAAAATAAAAAAAATTACATTACTTGAAATAAAATAAACTTTAACTGAAACATAAAATAAAAAGGTAACACTTTACAACAAGGTTCCATTAGTTAACAACTTTAGTTAACATGAACTAAGCATGAACAATACTTCTACAGTATTTATTAATCATAGCTGATGTTAATTTTTAACATTTACTAATGCATTATTAAAATCAAAAGTTGTGCTTGTTAACATTAGTTAATGCACTGTGAACTAACATGAACTAACAATGAACAACTGTATTTTCATTAACTAACAAAGATGAATAAATACTGTAATAAATGTATTGTTCATTGTTTGTTCATGTTAGTTAATGCATTAAAGGCACAATATGTAATTTTCACCACTAGAGGGCGCATATTCAAAATAAACAAAGAGGCAAAGGCGTAGTTTGATGACGCCGTGACTGAGTGTGGAATCATGGGAGTTGTGGTCTTCATCTCCACAGCCGATGCAATCCGACGGGATTCGGGCAGAAATCATGTTCATGGATGAGCTAATGATTTATTAACTAGTAGAATGAAGCAGGGTGAGGCTGAAAGCCGTCGAAGCGAAACGAGGCGCTGAACGAGCGTGACACACGGCTCGAAAGCAGCGGAGCTTTTATTATGCCACAGTCGACCACTTCTGCTCCTTCCGGTCGTGCGTATGTGGGGTAAAGCAGTGCTGTTTTATCATACTACATACATTTAGTTCTGTTATAATGCTACTCTGTGCGGTCGTCACCGGTCTATTAAAACACACAACATATTAAAGCGTCTTTGGTGTTTCCATGTTTT